CCGGGTCCTACGCTGCTTTGTTCCCCATCTCCCTGGTCTGCTGGCCAGATCAGCAGACCAGGGAGACAGGGAGCAGCTTTTCTTGCCCCGGAGGAGGTGGGCGGCGGGACCAGGCGTCCCGCCGCTCCAGTCCTCCAGGGCGAGAAAATCCCCGTTTGTAAGTTGGGGTCCGCGTAACTCGGGGACTGCCCGTATAGGCTGCCTACTCAAACTATAACTATGCAGCATCAAACTTGTTTGCATTTGTAAACTAAAGTAAATCTGAAACCCAGTCTTCAATAATGGGTTGACTTACTTGCTTTCATAAGTATCCTGAATTCCTTTCTTGCACCAAAAAGAGATGAGCATACTTTCAATAAGAGTATCAACGCTCATTGTACAGGAGTAATTTTAAATAAATTTTGTAGTTGAAAGGACAGAGGTTATTTACAGAATAATTTTGACCCGAAGAACTGAGAGTGCCTTTGAGGTGCAAATTCCAAAAGGACTTTATTAGCTGTTTTCTAATTGTAAGAAAATGCTGTCTTTGCGAATTGATTCATAGCAATAAGAATACAGATGTTAGTAATGTTGCTTATCACACTGTTGTAAGGCACTCAGTTACCACTGCAATGAGGGCAGTACAAAGATCTGCTGAAACAGAATGTTACAGCAACTAAATAGATTTCAGTTTGGAAAAATGCTGTTTGGAGCACATCTTTCAAATACGAAAGTCATTTAACAGAACTGTGAAGGAACTGCTAGACTGCATCAGACCAATGATTCTAGTCTTGTGCCCTATCTCTGACAATGGCTAGTATCAGATATTCCAAAGGAAAGAGTAGAAGTGCTACAATGGGAAACATCATGCCTACAAAAAAAAATTCTTCCTAACATCAGGTAGTCAGGGGTTGGGTTATATGCTAAAATCACGAAAATAGATATCTCCTATATTTTCAAAAACTGAGCTAGTGTAATTGTGCAGGATGTTTTTATTCTATATACACCTAATTATTTAATGAATTCCAAGTGCTTTGCCTCAATCGTGTGGTTATGAGTTCCAGAGGTTAACAGTGCGCTTTGGGAGAAAACAGTTTACAAGTTAAAGTGTCACCATTTTAATTTCATTTGATGTTCTCCATCCTTGTATTAAGGCCAACAGGGGTCCCCAACTAATCTTCTGTATATGACACATTTTATAAACCTCTCATCTATATGGAAGTCTTTCTATGCCTCTAATCACTTTGGTGCTATGCTATCCTTAGGATAGGGAACATCCACTGCATGGAGCATTCAACATAGGAATCTACATATAGAATAAACTTGGATCTTGGATATGAGATAGGTGAGTTTGGATAATAGATAGGTATCCTGATGCCTAAAGTGAGACATTTTGTGCATGACCAGAGGCAGAAACTTAGGCACCAAAGGAATAAAAATGTAGGTGCTAAGTAAATTTAGGTATTTACAGGGTTTGAAAATGTTGTCCATGCAGGTGTAGACCATGCTGAGGGTAATCTTGCAGGATTACCACCATCAAATGGGATCAGTTAATGGTTATGGAATTATTTACTGTATAACAGGGGGAAAAAAGCACAGAATGTTCTGATGAGTATGTTGGCAAATCAATACCTGCCAGTTTGCATGTTGCTTTCCTTCAAGTCATGTTTGAATTACTGTCTAAATTTCTAATTCACACCTTTTACAATCTAATGGATATGATGTCCCATCATCAATAGTATTCTGACATTTTACAACTAGTTAACTAGAATTGTCCAAACTTATTTAACAGGGTTTCTAACTCCCCCCCAAGGTTAGTGACAGAGGGCGAATTAATTCACATTGTTTTAAGATTTGCTCCAACAGTGGAAGATGAACGAAGCAGAGGGCTCAGTGGATTTATGAGACGACTGTCAATCTGATGCTTTTTCCTAAGCTCTAAAATTACTTAGAAAGAAACCAAATAGGGAGGGAGCGGGGAGGAAAGAGAGAAGAGATGGAAAAAAAATATGAAGTGAAGAAATAACAGTTATAAAGAAAATAAGGTTGAAGGCATCTTTCACTGGATTCCTATGAACACTCAGAAAATATCACGTCTATCAGTTAACTGATCCAAACAATTCCTCACTGCCATATGACAACTCACCACTACTGAACCAGATTTGTAATGCTCGTCTACTCTTCAACAACATTGCCTCCTAAAATTTGCAAAATAAATAAATAAATAAATAAATAAATAAATATGTATATATGTAAAGGTCAATAAATTATGATTTCTACTAATTCTACTTCCTACTTAATGGATCAGTTTTCAATACTTGTACTCACCAGTTTAAAAAAAAAAAAAATCCTGCTAGTTGATAATATAGTACAAACAGCCAATTCCAAAATACTTACAAAAAACATTTAATCAACACTCAGTGTTTCATAATATAACACAGATCATTCCTTTTGTGCATAAATGTATTCTTCAATTCCCATAAGACCGTGGTCCCCAACACGGCGCCCGCGGGGGCATTTGAATGCGCCCGCCAGGTGCTCGGGGCTGGCCTGGCCCCGGGCACATGGCGCAGCGCTTGCGGGGAGCGTC